ACTCTTGGATTTAATGCTGAAATGAAAGACTGGACATTGGAACATCATGAACAACATGGCTGGGTACATGAGGACAAGGCTACTCTTGGATTTAATGCTGAAATGAAAGACTGGACATTGGAACATCATGAACAACATGGCTGGGTACATGAGGACAAGGCTACTCTTGGATTTAGTACCGTAGTGAACTACACTGCTCTTGTTTTTAAGATTGAAATATCAACTGTGACCTGCCAGCCATATTTAATCCTTTGTTTCAATGATTCCCAGAAAGTTTCGTCTAATATTGACTTTATAAAAGGATCTACATTGGTGAACCAATCATTGTCTTCTGTTCATTGTGACCGATATCCAAAATAAAGATCATTAACACAATAAACTAATGATTTCCCAAGTGTATGATGTTTTGAATGATTTAACCAGCTAGCAGCAGTTTGTATTTGTTTGAATTATCATCCAACGTTCTCTCTCCTCAAATGTTCTTTAGCTACAACATCAAACATGGCAGAAAATTAACATCTTCGTGTTCTTCTTGAGTCTAGGTCTGAAGTTTGTTTTCCACTTTGTATAAACACGGATTTTCTTTTATCCACATTTCTCTATTACTACAACACCGATGAACTGTGTTTCAACAAGCTTATCTGATAACACTGACAACGTACTTGCTGCGTTAAACAATGGCGGATTGATAACTCCGCCATTGTTTAACGCAGCAAGTACGTTGTCAGTTCTGCCATTGTTTAACGCAGCAAGTACGTTGTCAGTGTTATCAAGACATTGTTTAACGCAGCAAATGCATTGTCAGTGTTATCAATCCGCCATTGTTTAACGCAGCAAGTACGTTGTCAGTGTTATCAAGACGGCTTGGATGGGTAATGAAGAAAAACTTTAATATAAGTTTAACATAACAGCAAATGTACAACGTTTCGACAAGGTTTTGTCATTATCAGGTACCATGGAAATGAATGTCGGAACCCGTCATAAAACACACACATAGATATAGATATATTTAATAAATCCAGCATGTCAACAACTGTCATTTATGCTTACGAGGTGGCGCCACAGTATTTTAAGTTTCAGAAACCATAAGTTTAATAATGGTTGGACACGGCTTGAATGGGTAATGACGAAAAACTTTATTATAAGTTTAACATAACAGCTAATGTACAACGTTTCGACAAGGTTTTGGTACCGGATGATGACAGTGAAGTCATTTTCTATAAAGGAATGACGAAGTAATTAAATTTAGCATTTTTATGCCCTTATTAGTTCTTAAATACAATAATCTGCCATTGTTCAACGCAGCAAGTACGTTGTCAGTGTTATCAACCTGCCATTGTTTAACGCAACAAGTACGTTGTCAGTGTTATCAGTCTTCCAAGCATTATTTCCATATTTACTAATATATGGCATCATGCACATGTTAACGTCTGTAGCGTAGAAGTATAAGAACACTTAATTTTAAGATTCGTGTTCACTAAGGCTCATTCATTATAATGTCTATATTTGTTGACAGATGGCGCCATGAAAGTTTTAATGTTTATAGTGTAGAAGCACAACAGCATTTAAGTAAACTTGTATGTTTAATAAAAAGGTGTCATGTTTTCGTGCCTCATGAATAGATACAAATAATATTTTTGTATTCTCTAGTTTCTAATTTTTTCGTCTTCATTAACCAGACTCACAGTAGCAGGCAGGCCAAGTGGGAAGGTCAGTGTCATAGGTCAGGTAAACCCAAGAACGAACGTGAAAACTGTAACTACAACACCAATGGTTATGATCTCCTGTCGAAGAAAATGAAGGCAAACTCATGACCAGTATTCAAGCAAGCAGAACTGTGTGGGAGCTAACATATGCACATAACCAAGGTATACAGTTATTTGAGTGTTGTACAATCACAGAGTTTTGAATGGCTTCAACACAGAAGAAGAGAGTTTGGAGTTCAGTCTTTTGTTTAAAGTTTAATGCTCGAAATACCTTTTCAATCAAGATAACAGTGTCTCGTGAACTGTTACCATGGAGCTTTATACATATCTAACGTATACTGCGTCTTTCTGGTTGTTTCAATAATACCGTTTTCTAACCAGTACCTTTAATGAGTACTTACCAAAATATAAAGTGAACACAATGTTGTTCAACGAACTGAACAATTGTAATTTTTATATAAATAAATAAATAATATAGGGACTAAAATAAGTTTACAATTATGAAATATTTTGATTTGATAAAACTTAGTTTTATAGTGTTAAAACAAAAACAGAAATGTGTGTTGAGAAACGAAAAGTTTTGAATTTGCTTCTCCCAGTAGGTTTGGATGTCAACTACTATTATATTATAAGTCACGTATCACTTATAAAGACAGTAATTCAACACCAAAACACACTGTAACACTTTGTGATTCCACATTAATTCTTCCTTTGAACACACTGTAACACTTTGTGATTCCACATTAATTCTTTCTTTGAACACACTGTGCTTATATACTGTAACACTTTGTGATTCCACATTAATTCTTTCTTTGAACACACTGTGCTTATATACTGTAACACTTTGTGATTCCACATTAATTCTTTCTTTGAACACACTGTAACACTTTGCGATTCTACATTAATTCTTTTTTTGAACACACTGTGCTTATATACTGTAACACTTTGTGATTCCACATTAATTCTTTCTTTGATGAAAACAAACCAGTTTAAATTGTCTATAAAACAATTACAGCTTTGTTCAACAACCAGAAGATAGAATCTGATCATTAGCATCAACATGTAAATTAGAAATATCTCCCTCATCGTATCATATATACTTCTAAGTTGTTTGAAACACAGATTAATAAAACCTTTATATATTTAGCCAACATCTTTAGCCATTATTACCAAGAATTGTCATATGACAGATGGTTTGGAAAATAATAATTTTATTTCAGTTGATCTTAAAATGATGCAGCAACAACAAACGTTCTGAACAAAAAAAAAGTGTAAATCATTGTCAGGAACTACTCATAATAACAGAAACTAACTATCAATAAGATGATGAATCTTTTAACAGATTTAAGCCTGGGATAAAATGGCTAATATAAGGCTTATTAGGTAATACAGCAGATGGACACTGAATCTTCAAACAACTGGACAAATCTCTTCAGTTTGGAGTCATGAAGCAAGTTCAGTCTTTACTGTTAGAACTCGGTACACAGACATTGGATCTTCAAACAGCTTGGCAAAGTCCTGTCTTTACTGTTAGAAGTCAGTACACAGACATTGAATCTTCAAACAACTTAGCTAGGTCCTCTTCATTTTGGGGCCGTGGAGCAAGTCTGGTAACACGATGCTGGAATATTGAACATAACAATATATGTAGACTTAACTAAAACACCAGTAAACAATCTATGAATTCAGACTGATTATCTTACTGCCTCAAAGTTTTGTTACAAGTTGTCTAATCCCCAAACCAACCACCACCAAAACCAATCTGAATCCACACAGACTGAGTACCACAAGTGAACCTTCATTCATTTAAACATTGACGTAGCATGTCAGCCAGGTCGAATAACCCTCTACCTCATAATACAGGAGGGCTCGTTTTTACGAAGATAATCTATAATTCCCTCTTCCTTGGTTCCATCCTACCCCATGTTGTGTTACAAGGCCTAATCCTACCCCACACTGTGTAACAAGCCCTAATCCTCCCCTTCATTGGTTCCATCCTACCCCACGCTGTGTAACAAGGCCTAATCCTCCCTTTCATTGGTTCCATCCTATCCCACGCTGTGTAACAAGGCCTAATCCTACCCCATACTGTGTAACAAGCCCTAATCCCCCTCTTCCTTGGTTCCATCCTATCCAATGCCATGTAACAAGGCCTAATCCTCCCCTTCATTGGTTCCATTCTAACCCACACTGTGTAACAAGCCCTAATCCTCCCCTTCATTGGTTCCATCCTACCCCACAGGATTAGGCCTTGTTACACAGCACCCCACGCTGTGTAACAAGGCCTAATCATACCCCACGCTGTGTAACAAGGTCATGACAACATGTGGCAATAAAAACAGGTTATGGAGCAACACAATGAAGAAAGTAAATAAAACTTTGTATTCATTTTATTTTACCTTTGGAAGGAAACACAAATATCGACATGTATACTAATAATGATGTTATAATTATCAATTGTGGAAAACACATGTTAGAAGTTAAAGTGTCATTAGAGCAAATTTCACCTCTAATTGCACATTTCGTGATACCGTAGCACTTGCTGGCTTTAAAATCATTAGTGGCACCATTTCCAGAACTGTGCTGGTATAGCTCTTTGTGGATCTTTTCAGCTTGGCCTTTGATGGTTTTAAAAATTGGTGTTCCCTCAGCTCATTCTTAGATAAACCAGGTACAGATGGTTCTATACAGCTGGCTATCATTGGCTAAAAATTGGTGTTCCCTCAGCTCATTCTTGGATAAACCAAGATGGTTCTATACAGCTGGCTATCATTGGCTAAAAATTGGTGTTCCCTCAGCTCATTCTTGGATAAACCAAGATGGTTCTATACAGCTGGCTATCATTGGCAGTTTTCAGGAAGTTGTGTTGTGGGACTTCACTCTTGTTTAGGTCTGGAAGTACTTCATTCAGCTGTGCAATGTTGACTCACGTAAGCCTAGTTCACAAGCAACTACTGCTTGTTTAACTAAGCCTAGTTCACAAGTGACTATTGCCTGTTTAACTAAGCCTAGTTCACAAGCGACTATTGCTTGTTTAACTAAGCCTAGTTCACAGGCAACTACTGCTTGTATAACTCCAGTTTTTAGTTTATACAATGTGTTAATTTTATCTTTCAGTTTCTATGGTTTTCTTTTGCATTTTGGCAATGATGTGGACATACTGCAGGAAAGCGAAACAAACTGTGTTACAGTTTAGAGAATGATTTGCAGTTTGTGGGTTTTTATATGGATCTTACCCTTGTTCACAGCGATAGCAAAGATTAAATAGTGCAGTTGTGATGCATAGAGCTTGAAAAAAGCTTAAGGGATGACTGCCTTTTAATTTGTGCTGCAGATAATCATGAGGATGGTGGACTGATGACTTTCGAAGTGACTGATCAAAAGCTAATTAGGCTGAGAAAGATTGAATTGACTTTTGGTGATTGTTAAGAAAAGAATTACACTAATTGTATACTGGCTTTCAATTTAGTCATTTTGTTAGTTAAAAGTAATTAAATAATTGCTGAAGCATGTTACTTTCTTTTTAACGGCTTCTTGTACAGCTGAAGCATATTACTTTCTTTTTAATGGCTTCTTGTATAGCTGAAGCATGTTACTTTCTTTTTAACAGCTTCTTATATAACTGAAGCATATTACTTTCTTTTCAACGGCTTCTTGTATAGCTGAAGCATATTACTTTCTTTTCAACGGCTTCTTGTATAGCTGAAGCATGTTAATTTCTTTTTAACGGCTTCTTGTACAGCTGAAGCATGTTACTTTCTTTTTAACGGCTTCTTGTATAGCTGAAGCAAGAAACTGCCACCATTTACGCTTCATCATTTTTAAAGATGGAATTCAAACACTTACAGTGTTGTATCTGAATCTGTATTGTATCAAAGCTCAGTATGTCGAGGTTTAGACATAAAACACCACCAAAATCAATCTGAATACACATAGACATAATACCACTAAAATTAATTTGAACATATTTAAAACCATACAAAAAGACACAAGATTAGCGATGTAATGTATTACTCGGTAAACACAAATCAAAAGTCAATTGCTTAGTCAAGTTGTTTATTCATAACTGAAGCTTTATAAGAATTCCAAAACCTTACCAAATCTCCAAGATTTAGAACTCGTAATCCCACCTTATTCAACTAAGAAGTTTGAGTCCCAAGAATCCAATTTTATATCCACATTACTACACACCCTACAATTTGTTATTTTTATATAACTAAAATAAAGTCTAAATTTGAGCACCAAAACTAATTTAGAGAAAAGTTTCCTTCAAACACAGTTTACCTGAGGTAATGTTCCCTTCACTAGTTCAGGGATGTCTTCTTCACTAAAACCAACCTCTTTCAGACCATCTTCTATCTCCATCTCAGACATGAATTGCTTAAGAATATCTGCAAGAATAACGCCAGCATCCTCCTTCCGATCATTACTAGTATCTCTCCCTAGTGTGGAAGGTAGAAGAAAAAATTATGCCCAAATATTAGAACATCATGAAAAATTCATGAGAATGTTTACTGTGCCACTAAATTTGGAAAGTTACTAGAGCTCATTCTACGTTATAGAACACAATTTTTATTATAGCTCAGCTAATACTTATTTGATATGTTCTTTAATCATGTATTCTATGTATGGGATCTATTTAACACACTAACTTCTTCAGACACTGTATCTAAGGAAACCTCACAAAACAGGAGTAACGGGGATAATTGTGGCGACTTTCAATGTCACAGTGTAGGATGGCCCTACATTCATGTTAAGGGCTTCACATGGAAGACACTTGAGTAAGTGTGCCTACAAAAGCATTCAATCTCGAAAACCCTTATATAGCTTGCGTAACGTAACTCACCACTTCAAGCTGGATAAAAACCCTTATATAGTTTGTATAATGTAACTCACCACTTCAAGCTGGATAAAAACCATTATATAGCTTGCGTAACGTAACTCACCACTTCTTGTGTAACGTAACATACCACTTCAAGCTGGATAAAAACCATTATATAGCGTAACATACCACTTCAAGCTGAATAAAAATCATTATATAGTTTGTGTAACGTAACATACCACTTCAAGCTGGATAAAAATCATTATATAGTTTGTGTAACGTAACATACTACTTCAAGCTGGATAAAAACCATCATATAACTTGCGTAACGTAACTCACCACTTCAAGTTGGATAAAAACCCTTATATAGCTTGCGTAACGTAACTCACCACTTCAAGTTGGATAAAGACCATTATATAGTTTGTATAATGTAACATAACACTTCAAACTGGATAACAACCATTATATAGTTTGTGTAACGTAACATACCACTTCAAGCTGGATAAAAACCATTATATAGCTTGCGTAACGTAACTCACCACTTCAAGCTGGATAAAAACCCTTATATAGCTTGTGTAACGTAACTCACCACTTCAAGTTGGATAAAGACCATTATATAGTTTGTATAATGTAACATAACACTTCAAACTGGATAACAACCATTATATAGTTTATGTAACGTAACATACCACTTCAAGATGGATAAAAACCATTATATAGTTTGTGTAATACACCATTTCATGCTACATAAAAAAACACACTGTCTACAGCACACTGCTTATATCTGCATGCTTTTCATAATTTATACAGCATATGAGGATAACAGTTTCCTACTGCTTGTGTCAATAGTCCAATCACATGGAAAACCATGGGTGCTGCAGTGATTCGACCAGTATTTTTTATGTGTAATAGCATGAACATCTGTTTCTTCTCCAGCTGCTTGAGGTATGTGATGGTTGAACAGAAGGTACAACTGGAAGTCTCATCTTAGTGAAACCATACTTATTGGCCCCATTTACACATGTAGATTATTACTGATCATGTTGTGTACTGTTGCTCAGATCATGTGGTTGGATGTTTCCACTAACTTAGTGTCAGTGGATGTTTATATGTTACAAGTTACTCACTTTGCTTACCACAGTTAGGATCTGACCTGTTGCAGGTCACTTTTTGACTGGTCTTGGTGCCTTAAGTTGATCCATCTCTGACTATGAAATTATAAGTCCTTGATCTGTACATATCTTTATGATCAAGTGTATGAATATTCTGTGTTGGAAACTGTCGTTATACACCCTTTAGAAAAACAATGAATCTTCATTGGCATAACACTACCTATGAAATGCCAAACAATTTCAAAATGTTTGATATTTTCCATTCCACTTCAATTTTTTATCAGATGCGATTGTCATGTGACTCACTGATTTGCATAACAAAATCATTTTAATATAACATATTCAACCCTGAATTTATGTATTTCTCATGATAAGGATGATGTCTGCTTGCTTTGGATTGTAATTTTATGCACACTTTTTAACAACTCTTTCAAAATGAAAGACAGTCATGTTTTCAAGTATTAAGAATTATACCCAACTCCAAAACAACAGTGTTCTATTTGTTATCACCTATGTTTAAGTGGAAAATTTTCTTAATTAGGTTTTCAATAAAACATGTTTTAAAAATATTTTACCTAATAAAGAAGCTGCCTCCAGGTGACGTTCTGGACACATGGCTCCAGTGAATCTGAAAACTGCAGGAGCAGTTATTACAACTGAGAGGCCATGAGGCTGAAAAAGTATAAATGACTAATAAATCAACAGAACTGGATAATCTTATGAACTGATATATTTTGTTACATTTTGCACTTAACATAAAGAAGTTCCCTTATCACAAAATTACAGTATACATCTGTATAGTTTTTATAAAAAAATAGTTACAATCCTAATTAGCACTAAAGAAGTTCCCTTATCATAAATTTACAGTGTACATCTTTACAGTTTTTATAAAAAAAAATAGCTACAAACCTAGTTAACACTAAAGAAGTTCCCTTATCACAAATTTACAGTGTACATCTGTACATTGTAATTTTTGGTTTTAAACATTTTAGTAAGTTAACATTGATTACCTACTTTATTTCAGCCATGGGATGTCCTATCCTATTTCTGGACTAGTGAAGAAGCACAAGGTTAAAGGTTACAACACAGATCATCCTATTATAGTAAGGATAAGACATATCAACTTCTTATGTTTATTAATAGTATTGAAATGTATTCCATTATAAGCCTCTCGTCAGGTGTCTCAGAAGTTTGAACTATGACATATTCTTATTATTTCACATTATCATAAATATTGTACAGATGTACACAGTAAATTTGTGATAAGGAAACTTCTTTATTGTTAACTAGGATTGTAGCTATAAAACTGTACAGATGTACACTGCAAATTTGTGATAAGGAAACTTCTTTAGTGTTAACTAGGTTTGTAGCTATTTTTTATAAAACTGTACAGATGTACACTGTAAATTTGTGATAAGGGAACTTCTTTATTGTTAACTAGGTTTGTAGCTATTTTTTTTATAAAAACGGCAATGTTTCTAAACAATCTTTATCTTTACTAGTTTCACATTGTAGTACATGAACAAACTAGTAAACAATCTTTATATTTATTAAGTTCTGTTTCACATTGTAGTACATGAACAAACTAGTAAACAATCTTTATATTTATTAAGTTCTGTTTCACAGTGTAGTACATGAACAAACTAGTAAACAATCTCTTTATTTATTAAGTTCTGTTTCACATTGGAGCACATGAACAAACTAGTAAACAATCTTTATATTTATTAAGTTCTGTTTCACATTGGAGCACATGAACAAACTAGTAAACAATCTTTATATTTATTAAGTTCTGTTTCACATTGTATTACATGAACAAACTAGTAAACAATCTTTATATTTATTAAGTTCTGTTTCACATTGGAGCACATGAACAAACTAGTAAACAATCTTTATATTTATTAAGTTCTGTTTCACATTGTAGCACATGAACAAACTAGTAAACAATCTTTATATTTATTAAGTTCTGTTTCACATTGTAGCACATGAACAAACTAGTAAACAATCTTTATATTTATTAAATTCTGTTTCACATTGTAGCACATGAACAAACTAGTAAACAATCTTTATATTTATTAAGTTCTGTTTCACATTGGAGCACATGAACAAACTAGTAAACAATCTTTATATTTATTAAGTTCTGTTTCACATTGTAGCACATGAACAAACTAGTAAACAATCTTTATATTTATTAAGTTCTGTTTCACAGTGTAGTACATGAACAAACTAGTAAACAATCTTTATATTTATTAAGTTTATTAAAATGGGCTAGAAAACATATAATATAACTATGTTTTACCATTAATGTGACATCTTCAGGTATTTTACACAACAGAACTAAGCATAGTCTAAACCTTAACATAAACCCACTCCCTGCATTATATGTATTCTAGGTCTGTTTTGGTTTTTTGTATCAGCTAGACTAGAGGAATACGGACGTTTTCCATCATACGTCTGCAACATTTTAAAGATACATTGTAATGAAAATAACACTGATAAAAATACTTGTCCTGGATCTAGTGTTAATAAATGCTAAAAAAAAGAAAGTTGTCTCTCTCTCTTGGCAGTAAGATTTTATGCTTCATTAAAATCTTATATATCAATCTCATAATGCTTTGTTTTTACAGTTCACAAGAGTAGCTTCTCAAATGAACTAAATTAGTTTAAACAAACTAGCTTTATAGTAGAAACTACGAGCGACTAAGTCTCTACTTACCACAGATGTACCCCAGCATTACCAAATCCAATCCCAGCATAAGTACTTGCTAAATGCATGGATGATCGAGCCTCCAGATCATCTTTATTGTATACTGCTCTATAAAGAGTAAAACATGTTAGTCACACAAGTGTCACGGTTTCAATGACAGCTTTGAAATCTGTAATCAACAAGTAAGGATTTCAAAATCTCTCACCTTTTGAAATATCGCTGGATTATTTTCAGGGCATTGAGAGCCCACACGTCACTAACAGGATTGCTGCCTTGGTAGGCTGGCCGTTCAATAGGATTTACCGGACAAGGAGATCGCTGGTTATACGGGATTGCAGTGTAGGACTCTAAGGCATGACTACGACAGGAGAGTCAGAATAATTAACCAGATTAATGCATGGCTATAACATGTCAAAAATAATAACAATAAGACTAAGGCATAATTATAACATGACAGTAAGAATAATTACTGAAACTAAGGCATGACTATAACATGACAGTAAGAATAAATACTGAAACTAAGGCATAATTATAACATGACAGTAAAAATAATTAACCAAATTAATACATGGCTATAACATGTCAAAAATAATAACAATAAGACTAAAGCATAATTATAACATACTGAAACTAAGGCATGACTATAACATGATACAATAATTAATTAGACTATCATATGACTATAACACAACAATAATTAATCAGACTAAGGTATAACTATAACACAACAATAATTAATCAGACTAACATATGACTATAATATGAGAGTCAGGATAATTATTCAGATTAAGGCACGACGGTGTTATAGTCATCTGATAGTCTGATTAATTATTGTTGTGTTATTAGTTGATTAATTATTGTTGGTATAACTATAACACAACAATAACTAATCAGACTAACATATGACTATAACATGAGAGTTAGGATAATTATTCAAATCAAGACATGACTATATCACGACAAACGGAATAATTAATCAGATGATGGCATGGCTATAACATGATAGACAGAACAATTAATTAGATTGTGGCATGACTATGACATGACAGGCAATAATTAATCAAACTAAGGCTTAATTACACTAAAACATGGCTGTAACATGACAGACAATAACACACAGGCCTTAGATGGTTTTATTGTCTTGAAATCTTTACATGTTCTTCAGTAATTCTTGTACGCTGAATCCAAAAATGAAATCCATTTTTCTCCATCACATACAGATTTTTCACAAAACATCATAACACAATACATAAAAGAAAGACCACAACACATAGTTTTGAGACTAGAAAACATAGATTTCACACACAAAAAATCAGAATGATTGAGGATGTATATTTGTTTGACATCAATATTCTTCCCTTTTCTTCAGTTTGTTTGAATTTTTGTTAACAAATATAATAATAAAAAAATGTTCATTGAGGTAAACGAAATAATAATTTGATCTAAGTAAGAGTTTTTTTTTCGTCCAGATTTGTAAAAAATCCTTAAGTGATGGAAAAAAAATGAATATTATTTTCAAAATCTACATAGCTGAATTATGGAAAATCTGTTATTAAAACCAAAACTACTTTTATGAAGTTTAAATTCACAGGCCTGTATAATTAATCAGACTAAGACAATACTATAACACAACAATAATTAATCAGACTAAGACAATACTATAACACAAAAATAATTAATCAGACTGAGACAATACTATAACACAACAATAATTAATCAGACTGAGACAATACTATAACACAACAATAATTAATCAGACTGAGACAATACTATAACACAAAGTCATGTTTTAGTCTGATTAATTATTGGGTCATGTCATGCCATTCTGTCTGTTGTATCATAGCCATGCCATGCCATTCTGTCTGTTGTATCATAGCCATGCCATGCCATTCTGTCTGTTGTATCATAGTCATGCCATGCCATTCTGTCTGTTGTATCATAGTCATGCCATGCCATTCTGTCTGTTGTATCATAGTCATGCCATGCCATTCTGTCTGTTGTATCATAGTCATGTCATGCCATTCTGTCTGTTGTATCATGCCATTCTGTCTGTCGTATCATAGTCATGCCATGCCATTCTGTCTGTTGTATCATAGTCATGCCATGCCATTCTGTCTGTTGTATCATGGTCATGTCATGCCATTCTGTCTGTTGTATCATGGTCATGCCATGCCATTCTGTCTGTTGTATCATAATGGCATGACTATGACACGACAGGCAGAATGGCATGGCATGACTATCATGACTATGACATGACAGACAGACAGAATGACATGG